GAACATCTCCTTCCTGTTTATTAAATTGAACACCCAAAGAGCAATTCTGGACTTTGAAGCTGTCAAGATGCGCAAAAATACACAACGCCTGAAATGGTCAATTCCACCTGCAGAAAGTATTGGATCAGATTAAAGTATAATAAACAAGAAAAACCAACAACAAGTAACATGGCTGAAGATCTGTCTGCATCTTCAGTAGGCTTTCCAATAATGTATTTCAGTCAGGTTGTTAGACAGAATGCAGAGACTCTGGAGTGTTCACAGTATCATAGCGTCAGAACAGTTCAGTTTGGTAAGGACCTTCAAAGGCCATCTAGTTCAATCTCCCTGCAACAGTCAGGGACATCTTGAACTAGGTCAGGGTCTCCTTTTTAAAAGCAAATCTCCACAAGCTGCACTATAAGTACAATTGCTGTAGTGGGAAAAAAAGTATTTTTTTTGCTCCCAGTAAGGCCCAGGGACCATGGCACAAACAGAACAAGCTGATTGATGGCCCTGCCTGCCTGTATCTGCATAACTTAGGAGCTTCAGATGCCATCCCTGTGAGTCCTGTGGACCACCATGGCATTGTCTTAAGTGCTGCTGGTGGTAGCAGGGCACAGAACCCAGCAGCTGGAGAGAAGGAAAAGGTGGGATGTGGGCCCCAAAGACAGCCATTAGTGTGCTGGCACTTTACTGCATATGGGAGCAAAACTGGTGGGAATGCTTAAGCTCAGGTCAGCAGATGTGAGTAGGTATGTACTGTCATTGGCAGAACTAAACTGTCTTCAGTTTCTGAGGGTCTTATGCTAAAGTGTCTGTAAAGTGTCAGCAGCAAAAAATGGGTCAGGTTAAAGTTTATCATCTGACTCAGTCCCTGAGAGTAAGTTAGTTCCTTTTAAATGGTGTTTACTACAGCTAACGAGGGGGGCCCCCCCCCATTCAAACAGAAGTTGTGCATTCCACTGTAGTTCATTTTGTTCCACCAGTATTGTACCAAGTGTCTTTGGCACCATTCTCTTCCACCCATCCATCCATCTATCCATCCATCCATCCATCCATCCATCCATCGGTTGAGTACTGTTGCTGAGCCGTTTGGCAGATCTGTCTGTCCTTTGTGTATCTATGGCTCTTCAACACAGTTACACTGCTGCTAGACCTAGTCCATGGATGTGCCCTTGGTGTGGGGAGAAATGTTTGTTCCTTCTGGCTGGCCATGCTGTTGTGATGCAAGAGCTAATAAATGTGTTTGAATTAATATATGTGCTCCGGAGCTGAACTAAACATATGTATTTCCTAAACCCAGCTGTCTACTCTTGCCCTTCTTCTCTGTGTGATAATACGCTACTAAAACTATGCCAGTTTAGGATGCGATGCCAGTGATTTCCCTATCAAATTCTACAATTTGTGGGATGATATTCCCCCTGGAACAAGAGATGAAGGTGGAAGGCAGGCTAATTGGTTCAGCACTCCCCCACTGCCTCTGAGCACAGGCACTTAGCTGTGATAATTGTGAAACAGAAGAATTTACCCTTGAGTTATAAACTGGTATCACAGGACTCAGTAAACAGTGTATATTTCATGAACTGTCAGCTATTCAGAGTACTGTCATATATTTTTACCGTTTCAATGCACTTTTCCAACTAATATCTGTAGCTAATGTATTTTCCTGTGTTAAGGTGGCATAATGTTCATGGAGCAGGGAGAGGTTGGGTTTTTTCTCAATACATCCATGCCAGTAAGCTGCTAAATAAAAGCTGTATTTCAGAGCCCTGAGGAACTGTGGCTTAATATTAATGTCTCCTTTTCCCAATTTAGAACCAGTAAAACCTTATTCTAAAAGTCCTTCCCATTAGTGTAACTGCACCCACTGCAAAAATAAGCGTTGATTTTTACATGAAACAGAACGAGCGTAAAGCAGTAGTCTCTGTATGATGTGCACTGACAGAATAGCATTTATCAAGGAATTTGTTTAACTAAAGAAATAATATCCTAGCATCTTGGAAGTGTCCAGAGTGGTTTAAATTAAGCATTAAGATTTCTATTTCTAGCATACACCTCTAAAAAAATGACTACTGCTTTTGCAATTTGGAGCATAAAGCAGCAGGATATAAAGCAGTAAGCACGTTTTTGGTGGGCTTTAGTAAAGCATGATTACAGTTTGGAAAAAAAGAGGAAAGACGATGTCTTCATTGCCCAATTGAAAAAAAGAAAACAGAAGGAAATATAAGCATTCTGAATTGCTTTCCACACAGAATTTTGTATTTCTGCAAAACTGACGTTTTCTCCTTAATGTCATGCTCACACCTCCCTTCTTTTTTGTGGTATTTCCAGAGAGCTTTCTCCCTTTCTGTCTTGAACACAAGTTTTTGTTGCAGAGTTTCTTTCAAGTACTTAATGAATGTTTTAATGCAGACAAGTAAAAATCCGAGTAAGCTTCTATATTACTGTAAATGCCCAAGGCTCTTACCAAACCTCTGTCCTGGTGGTGGTTGATGGGATGTAAGAGAATTCATTTTCTTTACCCACTATCTGCAATGATAATCAATGTCACATATATAGTCGTGTAATTATCTCAAACCATTTTCCCATTTTGCAGGCAATAGTATCAAAAGGCAAATGAACTTTCAGCCTCTCCTTTGTCTGCAGTTTTGTGTTGATGGATACTGATCAGGGCTGAATGTTATCAGCCTTGTCCTTTTCAGAAGCTGTTTGTGGACTTCTAGGAGAGGCTAAGTGAGGTCTTGTTCTTGTAACTCTCTGTTCTACTTAATCAGAGGTATTTTTGAAGTGACAGTAGACTATTTGGATGGGATTAAATTGCCTAAAACAACACTAGATGGCTACTCATAGGTACCCAATTAATACTGCTTTTCCTCTTCCTGCCACTTACAGAGTGCAGATCTCCTGCAGATATTGTCAGACCTGCCAGTCAAATATGAGTGTTGATTTTCTAGAGCATCTCAAATGACACAAAGATTTTACACTTACTCAACTGCATCTTGTTAAGTGTGAGAGTAAAACATTATTTGTATGTATTCCTTTAGTTATTTGCTGCTTATAAAGCCTCAATAATTTTATTCCTCCAGCTCTCCTAGTATTCGCTGACTGAATTGCTCCAAAATTTGCTGCTCCTTGTTTTCATTTCTGAATATGTACAATAAGTGAAATGAATTTGATTGTGTCTTCATTACTTTCTATAACAAAGCGACTTATTGTAAGACTGCTAGGAAATGAGTTACTTGGCATTTAACACCATTTAAATGTAAGAAAATGTCGATGGTGAAGCTCATGCTGTTTGGCTTTTCTGAAGCTTTGTACATATGGTATGTGACTGACAGTGGGTGTACTTTATGGTTGGTGTAATTCCCGTTTTGAATCAGCGAAGCAAAGTTTTGTTTGGGAAGCCTTTGTATGTTCATTATTTAGCCTTCATGTTTTAGGATGCTGTTTAGTACTGGGTGTGTTGTAGTTAATGAAACAATTTCCCATTTGAATGCTGAATTTCTGTGTATTTCATTCTGGACTCTATTACCTCTGAAATCATTTTAAAATAAAAGCCATGGATGTTGGCAACACTTCTACAGGAATGCTGAAGGCTTTTCAGGAGTGGTCAGAGGGAAAACTTTTATGCCTTCTCTCTAGCCGTCATATATAAAAATACTGCATCCAGAGCACTAACGAAATTAATTCTTCTCCCACAGACTGTAGCAGGTTTAGTGACAAATTTAAAGGGCAAGTGTATTGAGAAGAAATAACAGAACTCTTGCTTGAAAACTGCAGAGAAAAATTCAAGGCTCTCTTAAGCTACTTTGAGTTCAGCAGACATGTGTGTGTGTTTTGATGCCAGGTTTTCCTCTCTGTGTTTTATGAGTTAAAAAGCCAAGCAAACAAACAACTATTGCATGAATTTCAAGAGGGCCATTTATTTTTCTCATTGTATATAAATACTAAGATGTTTTCCTTCTCTTAAAAAAAAACAATCATGTAATACCTGCAAGGTGATGAAAACAAACCTGCCAATGCCTGAAATTTTGGATGGATGCTTGCCTGATGTACTTGCAAAAACCCCTAAATTGTTCTGATTGTCAGTTTAAATGTATTGTAAGATGGGAGAATCTTGACTCTGTGCTTTTAAGCACGATGTGTAGAGCTCTCATTTCAGATCCATCTTTGATGCTGGCATTAACTAAGCATTAACACGAGCTAGCTGAAATAACGTCTCTAGATCCCTGTATATGTGCTGAAAGCTGAAACAGTGGATGAGATGATAAAATCACTATCACATATCATCACTCTAATAGATATGTCACAAGTACTTATTTTAAAAGAGGTGGATGAGATAATCATTGTTTCCAGAAATAAAACTGTACATTTAGGCAATGAGAAGAATAAAAGTTCTATTATATTGAACACGTAAAATGTGTTAAGCTTCTGGTGAGAGCAAGCAGATAGGGACCATGTCTATTCTGTTGGTTTTCGCCTGGATCCATATATACTGACAGTTGTTAGGAGATGTGGCTGATATAGCTGCCCTGACACAGAAGTCAGTAACGTACCTCTGGTTCCCCTTTTCCTCTTGCCTGACGAGACTTTTGTCAGGTGGCTTTAAAATACTAGGTTAAACACACCTTTGGTGGTATAGCTTCACCTCTACTGGTCTCTCTTTGGTTTGTATACAAAACTGTAAAATGCCTCTGTAGCACAGTTATTTTGGAATGCATTATGAATATCCAGTAGTTGTAATTTGCCTTTAAAATACCATTTTTTTTCAATTCCTAGAGGTGCTGGAGTTCTTCATTTGCAAAGTATGCAGAAAACAACCTCTTTCTGGTTAAAGCTGTGTATTGTTTGACTTGGTTAAAAAGCAACAAAGACTTTTAACTGCTTTTTATAAGATCTGTTCCAGTGAAACTGTTAACTCTGCATAGATTTGGTTATTCTTTCTTTAAACAGTCGACTTCTTTTATCAGCCAAAGAACAAGTCATTTGATTAATGATCATTTTTATCTCTTTGAAAGGATCCTTTCCGACCATTGGGGTGAAGTCTCTTTCGAGATTCCTGAGGGCGGGATTTTTAAATAGCATCCTGGCCTCACATCCAGTGTCAGGGGGTGGATCTTTACCCCCCAGCATTTCCTCTGGTAGGTATTCCAGCCTATTCCCCTGCCATCAGTCTTTCCTTTTACCATTTGCCCCATGTCTCCACACATCTCAGGGAAACAAAATTTGGTATTGGTCTGGCAGGGATACTAGATTTTCCTTCCAATAAAAAGCCAAACTGAAAGGAAATGGTAAAGATAAATTACTTTCCAGGAACTAGCCTGAAGCAGTGTAAAAGAGAAATTATGGGAGAAACTGATGTGTTGTAGGTGGTCTAGTCATACACTCTAGTCATACACTTCATAAAGCATGCCAATGTGCACCAAAGAAACATAACTTTAAAAATGCCTCTATAAAAGCACTGGGTTTATGTGCTTCTGTGACTCTTCCCTAAAAATTTTCATTCTCTTGCTAAAAAAATGAAGCAAGACAAATTTATAAAAGGAAAATTTAATTATGTATTGATGTAGTGTTTAAATCCTTTGTCTGCTTCTGTAGTTGCAACTTGTATCTCGTGAAAACAGCCTTAACGTTTATCAGTTAACTTTTATGACAATTTGAACTACTATGATTCTCTTAAAATGAGTGAGAAAGCCCCACTGCCTGTGTTGCCAGCATGGCAATCTGTACTGCCCCTGGCAAGGTCCCCAGCAGAGACACAGCTGATGATGGTACGAGGGACCAGAGAGGGTTGGCATAAGGTTGAGCATAGGCCATGAATGGGAGCACCATGCAAGGTAAACAGGCTGCTATCAGGTACTGGGCTGAAACAGGGAAGGACAGGTTAGAGGCATCCTTTCCCAGAAAGGCTGTATGTGTTTCCATTCTCTTTTAGAGCTATTAAGCACCATCTTCCATCAAAACTAAGAAATGAAGAATAAATACACGCACCTTAATTACAGTTAAAACTGCATCCAAGTTCAGTCCTGCTCCTTTCCAGATTACATATTTCTGTGTCAGATTAGTCTGTACATGGGCCAATGTCACATTTGTGTCCTTTCAGGACATCTTACCTCTAATGTTACTTACAGTTTTTCTTAAAAAGAGAAATCTCTTATGGTAAAAGTAGGGGAAAAAATGAAAAATTACACTCTATTATTGATTTGCTATACAAAAGAAACTCTGTTCCATTTTGTGTATTGCAGTAATTATAGGCCTCACTAATACAAGATAATCCTTTTCCTTTTTTTTAAGTGGTATTATGTCTTTGTGGGGGTTTTTTTCTTTAAATAGAAGACCCTCAGCAACTTTGTTGTCTTTTCTCATGACTGTTTGGGTGTCTTTTTTGTAACAGTTTATTAAATACTTCCATATTTTTCTCCTTGGGATATGGGAGTGTTTAATAACCCCTAGGCTATTGGCAGTCAAAATCACAATGAGATTGGTATCTGTAACCAAAGAAATGTGTGGAAGAGGAAATAGTCCAGGTCCAATAAAATTCTCTGTTTTGAATGCAGTGTTATATATAGCATAAATCTATTAGATTACAAATGGTTTAATTGCACCCATGAACTGGCAACTCAACTACATATCTACCTATAGGTTTATTTTATAAGGTCCTAAGGACTGTTGTTTTCTGCGTGCTTGTAAAGCTTTTTAATCACAATTTTTAAACTTAAAGCAGAAGTCTTAAATGTGGTTTCAACATTTCTCACTATTAAATGTCTTTTACTAAGAATTCTGATTCAATCTGTTGAAATATTAAAAACAGAGAAAAAAATGGAAGTACAGCTACATGATGTGCACCATATAGCCTAGCAAGGTCATGGAAATACATGTTATTGTTTGATAGTGTCAACAACAAAAAAAGCAGCAACCCCAGAGAAAGAGAGAGACTGCCCACCTTTTGAATAGTGAGGATTACCAGGTAGTTGAAAGCCAGTGAAGAACTGCAATAAGGGTGATGGACGAGACGTGTTCCTTTGAGAAAGAGTGCATATGGGGGGCCAGGTGGCATGAAACTCCATAGTTCAAGGCAGAAATTGCTGTTAACAAACGTATCCTAACAATCTCACCTGTAGGGTTGCTATTTAACTCTTTATTTCTCACTTTATCATAGTCATATTTACATTAAGCATAATCTTAATTCTGAATTGCTTCTTTTTGTTACAGAGATGACCAGAGGATGCTATTTCCTTTTCATGATAACTGTCTAAATTGCTAAAACCAGCTTTGCCATGCATGTGAGGAAAAAACCCATATGTTTAATACATTTATTTCTTTTTAAAGAGGTTTGTTGAAGGGAGTACTGGTGTAAGATGTGAGAGACTCAGAACTGAAACTCTTGCTGTGTATGATTCAGTGGAAAATACAAGCTCATCCTGGTATCATGAATCTGTTAATACAAACAGAAGGGATGTACCCTTTGTTCGTTTGTATTGAAAACTACTGCACTAAACACCTGACCTTTTTTCTGGCTATCGCTTTACCAAGGAACAGAGACACCCAAGGCACAAATGCTCCAAGAAGGTGTTTAAGCAGTGATGTCTGTGTTATCATGGCAGCCTCTGGCTGTTAGAACAGTAACAGGTAGGCAAAATCAATTCCCCATTGCAGTCTTGATGCGGCCTCCAAGGCTTCCCCTCTCATTAAAAGTGAGAGGATTGCTGTTTGTGTATTGGTACTGGAGGGAGGCATGCTCAATTGCTGCTTTTGCTAGCACAGTGACCCCACCTTCATTATCTGAGATGTTGGGCTCATATTGGCCAGCAGCTCTCATAAGCCTACCAGAAGTACTTAATGTTTAATAACTTTGCTGAATTATAACATAATTGCTTCAGATGCAGCTTTTGTGTAGGATTTCAGTGAATTTAACTACATGGAAGGCTTAAAATGCCAGCATTATTCTGCTATTACAGTCATTGGAACAAAGATAATGGGATGGTTTTTATTTTCCAAAGCCTTTAACTCAAGCTAAGTGGCAGATTTACTCCAAAATAGTTGGAAAATTTATTCCTTACTAAAGACAAAATGCTTTTACAACTTTTCTTTCTCTACAAAATCCCCCACAGATGTTTTAAAGGAAACACAGGAATAAACTGGAAAGCATGCTATAAATAAGTGTTTGAAAAACAGCTTGGCAGGGCAATGTAGCTGTTGGTTTCCTTTTTTCCCTTTCTACTTTTCATTCAGTAGTTGTGGGGAGTGTATTTCTTTTACCATTACACTGGCAGATGATGTTCGGTATTGTGTAATACGGTGTCTGCTTTTGCACTCTGAAAGGTTCACTTACGTAAAAGGTATCCTCATTTAGCCAACTTAAACATTAATTTATGCTGCTGGCAGGAGGCATTACATCTTTCTATATAAATAGATTGCCTCAAATGTAGGTGGTTTTTAAGCCTGGACATAACTATGCTTGTACTTGATAGTTACATCAGAAGTCTGTCACTGCTCTACTGCCATTTCAGTAGAAGTAAAGCTTTTGGCAGGCCTGCAAATATCTATCCTAGATTTTTGCCAAAACAAGCCCATTTTCAGACAGCTCCTTTTGATTTATTGATCCTTTATGTCACAAATTACTTAGTTTCTAATTATCCCACCTGTTAGCAGTACAAATTCACATGACTTAGTTAATGTAGGTCTATAATGATGGATTCACATAAGTAATATTTTCTCATTTGTTATCCTTACATATGTTAAATAGAATTTTTAAACCACTTAGCAGTTTACACTGCACATAAGGCATGCACTGGCACGAGCTGTGGAAGTTTGCCCCTTCCTTTCGGTTGCACACACACAAATATACACATATATATGCATGCTGTGAAAAACCAAATCACTAAATTGCCAGTGCTACATCTATGTTTTTCAAATTCCAGCTCTTCCAAACTAAGTTGAGTGTTATTTGTTCCATTTGGGGGAAATTCTTAGTTTACTGCTCTTGCTGTGTGTTGGCAGCGCTTGATTTCAGTTGTGGGTACAGGGTTTCTTACATAAGTGCATACCCATATTGCCTGGCAGAAGTTCCGGATAGAAATATAGGTGGTATGCTGCTGTCTTTGAGGAGTGTCAGACAGATTGTTAAGCTTGCCAAGTTGGAAAGGAAGGGAGGGAAAGCAAATGCCTTTCCTACTGTTTCTTTCAAGCTAATCTCCTTTCCTGAGCTTCTCTGTTCACAAGAACAACTAGAGATGGGTGTCAGGATATGAGAAACTGTGGAAAAGTTCCTGTTAAGCAGACCTCTCAGACCCCTTTCATACTGTTCAGCATTCAAACTACATTAGCAGGAGAGGGGAAAAAAACACATCAAAATTATTCTTTCCACATACATCTTTCTATGAACATCAGTGTTGTGATTTGCTTGTGAAATCTTCTGATCTCCCCATGTAGTCAGCAGCTGGATCATTGCCCCATGTTTCATTCATAGGACACAGGACTCCTCCTCCACATGAAGTACATTGTACAGAGGATATCCCCCTTTCACTGTTTTGCTGTCTGGCTTTCTGTGACTATCTAACATACATTGTAATGTTCACATTTATTACAGGGAGCTTCTCAAAGAACTCAGATATAACTGTAGAATACTAAACCAGATGATTATCAGTTTTCTTTTTCCCCAAAATTAGTATTTTATTACCATTTCCAAGTGCACCTGAGTAAGCCCATTATTCTTGATATTGTATAAACCAACAATTGAAAGCAAATTATATTGACAGATCCTTATTGAACAAAATTACTCAACAAGACCATCAAGGAGCCATTGTTCATAGTGAAACTCAACTACAGTTATTGGTACTCCAATAATGAGAGAAGTAACTTCTTTTTTTTCAGTTAATGCATTTTTCCCTACTCTAGATTCCAGCACCTAATCTGCTGTATTTGTTATTAAATGAAAATTGCTATTCCTTTCTCCGTAGCTAACAAATTGATTCTTTTATTGCATATGCATGTTTTATTATATCTAAAATGGCTCTTCCAGTTGATTTTTTCCAGCCTAAATGCTATTTCACTGGCATGTCTAACCCATAAACCCTACAACTAATACATAATGGTGTGTATTTTCTGAGGATAGAAGTCCAATGAATATGGACTTTTCCAT